CCCCCCCGCATCCCCACGAACTGGTGGGACACCGATTCTTCCGTCCCGCTACAGGAAACGGGTTGTTCACTTGCTCACACTTCTCGCCCTTATCCGCTGATGTTTTTTTTTGGGGGGGGGAATGCTTCCGACTGGAGCGGCGAGGATATCCTTGAAATCTTCGTCTTTCTTTTGGGGAGGACAAAGACCACCCACCCACCTCCCCCCAAAAAACTATATTTCTTTTTTAAAAGTCTCTGTCGCAGGGCAGGATTTTTTTGCTCTTGTGGCCAGCAGTTGGAAAGAGTTTCCGAATGGGACGCGAAATCAAAACTCAGTAGCCATCTCGGGGCCTCGTAAAGATTTTTCCGCCACTCGGACCGATTTAGGCGTTTGTCGAAAGAAGGGATTTTTTAAAACACACACGCACTGAGGGATCTAAGATGTAGATTTCCTTCTTTTTAAAATACTGTTGAGCACCTCCGTTTTCGACTCCGACGGCGGGCTTTGTAAGTTTGAAATGGAAGTTAAGTAAACTTTTTTTAAAAAAAGGTAACTTCTTTAACACAGAACTGTCCAAACTTTGAAAAAAAGTTACTTCTCCACTTTTTCTTAAATTTTCAGAGGGAATTTGCATGTCTTTAAAATGAACTGATATGTATATATATATTTTTAAGATGACAAAGAAAAATAGATTTATTGAAGAAATTTAAGGCCTAGCCACAGTTTGTTGAGGGGGGTCATATTACCTTGGATCTAGTGGGTCTTGTTTGCATGTAAGTAATCATAGCAAAGAGCTGGGAATAAACCATTTTGGAAAAGAAAGTTACTATAGGAAGAAAAATAAAATAAAATAGAGGAGATGCTTTCAAATGTACCAATTTTGTGGGTGGTTTTGACAAATTTTATTCCCTTAAATCTGAAACAGACAAGATCTTACCCATTAAATAAAATCTGTGTAGCTGCTGATTAAGAGGGGGGGAAACCCTCTTTCCTACTCCCAGTGTTTAAAGGGGATGAGGAGTAAAATCCTGCATGTCCTGGAATTGGATTTTTGTTTTTAATGGATGTAAGCTGATAAATGTTTACACTGGCTGTTATACCCCCCTCTTTTTTTTCAGTGTCTCAGTTTAAAATGGTGAATTACTCCTATGATGAAGATCTTGAAGAACTGTGTCCAGTATGTGGAGATAAAGTCTCTGGGTATCACTATGGACTACTTACCTGTGAAAGCTGCAAGGTCTGATTATTGCACTTCTGACTTTTTAATAATGGGACAGAATATTGAAAGCAGGCCCCAAGTTGCTTTGGGCAAGCCAAAGNAAAAAAAAAAAAAAAAAAAAAGAAGGAAATCTTTCTCTGTGTGTGTGTGTGTTTCTCTCTCTCTTATCACCAACAGAATGAAAAGCTCTCCCAGTGTTCTGTATAGGGCAGCTATATTTACTGCCTTTAAATATTTGGTTGTCGTGAAGTGATGTAGTTGTCCAAGGGTTTTCGTTTCCAGCTGTCCTCAATATTGATTTTAGTTGATTTATATACATTGAGTATTATTGTTCCTGTATCTTGTTCCTGATAAATTTCAGGGCTACAGTATTGAAGGCAACTGTTTCAAGTTTCTTCATCTTTCGGGATGCACATGTAAATTGCTATTGTCATTCTTTTTATGGTTGCATGTGCACGCACCCCCACGCACAGTATTTTATGTCAGTATTTATTAAGAGGGTGATCAACTGGAATCAATTAAATGATTTTTAAACATCATATGTCACTGTGAAGTATAATTGTGAACTTGTTTTTTATTTTGCTGCATATGCACCCAGGGTCAGTGTTATACACCAGCCCATAATGTCATCTATGCCTCTTGTTTTGAAATAAAAATTAAGAGCAGTGTAAAATAGCAGTATTTTCAGAATGAAATATTCTATCAAAAAGGAAATTATTTTTTAAAAAAAATCTCTGTACAAAAGCAAGAGGACTGAACGCTTGTAGTTGAGTGATTCAGACTGAATTTTACGACTATCTAGAAACATTTACCGAACAGCAAGCTGTTGCTATGGCCATGTAATTGTGGGAAAAGTCCCACTTAAAATAGTAGCATAAATGTAATCCTGTGCTTCTCTGCTGAGAAACTAATCCCACCAAGTTCAATGGGGCTTATTTCAAGCTAACTGCATATATGGAACTGCAACAGCACTCTTCATGTCAATATATATAGGGTTGCATCTCAGTGTTCAATGTGTATAAACTTCTGTCTGTGCCATGGAGACACGTAATATATCTGTGTTTTATTATACCATGTCATTTGAAAAATAAACTAAGTAGAAGCTTGAAGAGTAGTAACAATAGCAGCACCACGGTAAAATATACTGCTGGTTTGCAGAAATCAAAAACACAAAAGAAAAAAAAGGCTGAGCCCCAAGGAGCTTGCAGTTTAAATTTAGATGATAGGTGAAGAGGAAATGACAGTGAGAAACAGGAATGAAAGTTGAAGGCAGAATTAACTGATTAACAGAGAACAGGGTAGCCAGGATAAAAACAGATGGTAGAACACTCAACATCACAAAAATAATTAAACCTTTGTGGAAAAGGAATATATTGTTATTGTCCAAATGCAATACTAAAATAATATTTAGGAATGCATTTAATGTTGTTAGAAAAGATAGCAGTGTGTGCTAGCATATCAGGGCAAAAAGAAAAGAAAAATAAAGACAGAAATTTTGTGGCACCTTAAAGACTAACTGCTATAATTTAATGTGAGTTTTCATTCCTTTGGACTTCTTTTCCATGAAAGCTCACATTAAAATATAGCAGTTAGTCTTTAAGATGTCACAATGTTTTTGTCATCTTTACTTTTTTTTTTTGTTTTTGCCTGAAATGTGTGCAGAGGGATGTCACAATGTTTTTGTCATCTTTATTTTTTTTTATTTTTTTTTTGCCTGAAATGTGTGCAGAGGCTAACACAGCTACCTCTACTACATTTTGCCAAAGTGTCTGTTGTATTAAAGCTAAAATAAATGCCTTAATTATTAAGAGCTTCCCCCCGCCATGGGGATGGGAGAATAAAGGGTTAAGCACAAATCTTTGCAGAAGTGATAACGTTAGCATATTGTGGAAGTTCTTTCTAAAAATTTCTGCATTTAATCCCTCAAAAATACCAATGGGGGAAAAATTGAAATTCATTCATTCGAACTATGGACTGTTTAGACCAATTGCTTTTCATAAGAGTGATGAAATAAGGAAGTCTCACAGCCGATAGCGGATGTAAATCAATACTGATGTGGACCAGCTCTAAAAAGCTTTTGGCTTGTGGCCTTGTGGGTTTTCTACAAGAGACTGGAGGGTAGAATCTGGAATAAAATGCTCCACCGGCATAAGCATTAAAAAAACCCGCCAAATTTTGCAAAGCTTTCTCAGAATATGAAGTCTTGGAATGCAGAACATATGAAGCCTTTTATATCTGTTTTACAGGGATTCTTTAAACGGACAGTCCAAAACAACAAAAGGTACACTTGCATAGAAAATCAAAGCTGCCAGATTGACAAAACTCAAAGGAAGCGTTGCCCTTATTGTCGGTTTCAAAAATGCCTCAGTGTTGGGATGAAGTTGGAAGGTAAGGCAAACAGTGGTTCCTGCATGGTTTATTTCGCAGACAGGGCTAAAGCCAATCTTACTCTTACTTAGAGCAGGCCCACTGAAATGAATGGGATTTGCCACAATTAACTTAATCCACATCAAGTTCACTGGCTCTGTTGTTATATACGGTTCCCACCAGATCCGGCCTTAGACACAATATATTCTTTTACTTATATATAAATTATAGTATGCAAGTTACTGAAATTGCCAACTGAATCCAAGACTTTTCGACTGTGTGCTTGGTCAAAAGTCTTGATGTTTATGGTGCCTTCATACATGTTTTTTTACCACAGATTCTTCCCCCCACCCACCCAACTTACATTTGCTTCGCCGGTATTTGCAGAGAAATGTGTGCATTACAAGCGGCAGGTCATAAGTATAACTTTACAATTACAGCATACCAGAAGAATGCAGAGTATTTGAGCAAACCATAAATACTTTAACAAATACAATTGATTCTTCTTAAGCAAACAGAATTAAATCAAGAGTAGATAGAATAAATTATCGAGTGAAAGTTGAAGTGTTTCTACAGCAACCATTCTAGATCTATCTCAGTGTGTTAAAATATGAAGTATATACCCATATATTGGGCATGCTTCCCATGCACAATTGCCTGTTCTTAGTTATCAGCAGAATCCTCTGTTCAGGAGAGAAGGGGATTGCATAATGGAGCTAATCATAGTCTTTAAAGAAAAGAAAAGAAAAGAAAAGAAAGAAAGAAAGAGAGAAAAAGAAAAAAAAGAGAGAAAAGAAAGGAAAAGAAAAAACCACTTTAAAAATATTACTAGAATTTTATAGAAAGCCCCCCAACTCTGAACTGGTTTCCCAGGACAATACATTGAGCAACTTAGAAAAATATAAAATTTAAAATATTCTGGAATGGATTTACACTAAATTTACAGGACTCAAACTTCCATTCAAAGGTTCTAAATCATTGCTATTAATGCTTGAAGCCATAGTCTGTTTTCTTAAAGTCACAAATGCAGGTTAAAAACTGCACTCACTGCATTTTTCTTTTGAAAAATCCCAACTAAGTTACCCCTGTTTGAATAGCTTTGTCTGACCATCCATTCTATTCTTTCTCAGTTAGGTCATTATTACTGCTTGTTTTAAGGGGGGCACTCATGTGGTTTTTCTATATCTGGGGTTTCAGAAATCAGCAATGGGATCCAACCCCTGACCCATCCCAGTATTCAGATTTAGACATATGACTGCGGTGTATTTATTTTATTTTTTTTGTGAATGATTTCACAAATACATTTTTTTCTTACCCCTGTTTGAATAGCTTTGTCTGACCATCCATTCTATTCTTTCTCAGTTAGGTCATTATTACTGCTTGTTTTAAGGGGGGCACTCATGTGGTTTTTCTATATCTGGGGTTTCAGAAATCAGCAATGGGATCCAACCCCTGACCCATCCCAGTATTCAGATTTAGACATATGACTGCGGTGTATTTATTTTATTTTTTTGTGAATGATTTCACAAAAATTTTTTTTGTGAACTTTTAAAGCACCCCAGTCTTTCATTTCACTGGCATGGAACAGGCAAACTTAAACAAATTCAATAGGGAGAAACGTCTATTGAGATGAATAAAACTCAGTTCAGCTTTATATGGGGCAGAAGCGTATATGAGTTTCAACTTGGCCAATAGATTAGAAACAATTGAGCGTACTCACTTGTAATTTTGCTAAAAACATCCTTTAGTCATTAATATGACATAAACTTTGGAGTGTTTAACTGGTGGAGACCAATTTTAATCTCAATTTTTTGGGAACACTCCTGGGGTTTGAGGACTGGTGTGAATGGTTCTGCTATAGTTCTAAGAGGAACATTAAAATTTTGTCTTTTTTGTCTACAGAGCCCACTACTTTAGCTGTGTTAGGAATGCCAAATTTGTGTCTTTTTCACACTGGGGAGGTAGCTTTGTTTGATTGTAAGCTCTCTAGCACTTTCTATGATACTTAGAAAATGCTCCAATATTGATGTCTGCACAAAATGACAATATATTGCAGTGTATTTGATTGATCAGTCACTCCATCGTTAACACAGCTGCAGAAAAATAATCAACTGTGGTTTTCCTATTGGGAGACAGTTTTATTTTCCTTGTGCGTAGATTTACAGTACGTTAAAATTTAACCCACCAGAAAAAAACAACATTTATTACGCATATAAGTTATGCTTGTACTGAACCAGTTTTGTTCTATTGAAATCTATGGAATGGCCAAATGTCTAGTTCATTGTCCACAGACTAAATCAGAAAGGAGAGAGACATTATCCTATTATACCTCCTGCTTTAGAGCTCAGCTTGGAGAGGAGATACTTAAATGATTTGTAAGGGAGAATTAAATGGCAGAGGTTAAGCTTCACTCTGCAGCTTTATTTTATTTTATTTTCATCTTGTTTTTTCCCCCAGCACTGGGACCCAAGGCAATTTAGAAGGGAAAAAACAGAAATTAGAGGGAGAAACACAATAAGATGTTTTAAAATACAATTAAATGATTTATGTAACAACAAAGGAATTTAAAAACAAGTTTAAAGCCAATTTGGAAAGCACATCAGAAAAGAGATAAAATGCCACATCCCCATTGAAAATCATTTTGTAGCAGTGGCCAAAACCCTGCCTCTTGCCAGCCATTGTATTAGCATGACATGGGAATATCTTCACAGCGTATAATTCAGGGGCAGATCAGCTTCAGCCATGAAGAAGCTGCTTTGCTTTTCTAGCAGAACCCAGAGATCTCCCAGCCAGGACCTGATGCAAAAGAGATATGCTGAGAATTCAAGAATTTGCTGTCCATTCCAGGAATGAGCAAGAGCTACTAGCCCATGCACAAAAAAATCCTTTCCTGGTTATGCCAAGTTTTCTTCACTGAACCAGTATAATTTAGGGAAGAATGGGAGTCATTTTATTTTATTATTTTTATTTATTTATTTTTGGCGATGTGAATAATCAGGAGTCAACTGTCCTTGCTAATCTACCGCAAATCACCCAGAAATCTACATTCTGCGTGCTCCAGGGCTACTTGTATCCTTTTAAAAATTGTATTTAGTACCTGCTTTGAATAGAAATGGGTACCCAGTTCTGGTGTAGTGGACGGAGTGACAAACTAGGGCTCAGGAAACTTGGGTATGAATCTCTTCTTGGCCATGAAAATTCACTGGGGAGTGGTGGCACTGGTAAAACCACTCCTTAAATATCTCCCTTATGTTAAAAGCCCTGTTAGGGTCATTGTAAGCAGGCTCTGGCTTGGCAGCACATAACAGGGTACAACTTCTGGGGATAGCTCAGGGGTTTAGGCATTTGGGTGTGGAGCTGAAGGTTGGGAGTTGGATTCCCCACTGTGTCTCCTTGATAGGGGCTGGATCCAATGACCCATAGGGTCCCTTCCAGCTCTGCAGTTCTAAGGTTGCTGTTGTTGGCGGTGTTATTAAATGGAATCCAAGGATGCGACATTGATATCAACCGCTCTTCAGAGTCCCATATAGAAACAGATTAGTACAGAATAGTGTTGGCCATAGTTCTGTGCCACCCATTCACAATATATATTCCCTGTATATATGAAGAAATTCCCATTTACTCTTCAATATACAGCCTATGACACTCACTATACAGTATAGATTCTGAAGACCTCCATGTTTCAAGATTGGCCCTACAGGAGGCACAAATGACTGAAGTAAGAGAAGGAGCCAAGAGAGTCCTAATATTCGCAAAACAACATTGCCCACTGACCTTTGGAGGCCAAGTCACCTCTTGACCCATGTACCTACCCTGTTTCCCCTAAAATAAGCCCTACCCCCAAAATAAGCCCTAGTTAAGTGAAACCCTCCCCTCCACCATTGTGCAGCAACCAGAAGATGACATGACTGCATTTGAATAAATGTAGATGGTTGTACATGGCAGAAATAAAACATCCCCTGAAAATAAAACCTAATGTGTTTTTTGGAGCAAAAATTAATATAAGACCCTGTCTTATTTTGGGGGAAACGGTACTGCACTGGATTTGTTCCTACGTATATGAAGACAATAATCAAGCAGAGGATTCCATTTGCACTTTTGCAACACACCTTGCCTTTGGTGTTCCTGAAAATATGCACACATTAGAGAGAGCCTCTGGAACTACAGAGGTAGTAGCAGTCCAAAATTAAGCATTAAATTCATTACAATGTAGAAAAAGAATGACACACAATAGTAGCTGGTTGGTTGGTAAATTGTCCCAATGCATGCGTGTGTATGTTCCTGGTTGGCTCCAGAAAGACATACCTGGTGTGTTTTTGACAGTCTTTCATACTCTCCTTTTAAAAAAATCATACTCTTTCATACTCTCCTTTTAAAAAAATTATCCCTCTCTTGCTGTTTCAATACCCAGCTTCCCTTTTTCTTATCAGCAGACCAGGGAGAAACATAACAGTTTCATAATTGTAAATGCCTGTGACATTTATATACATGTTTTCTCAATGGTGATACATGATCTTAAATCTGAGTTCATAAATTACAGTTGGGGCTGAAATCATTATTTGTTAACACATCTTTATGATAATGTATGAGACTCTCTGCCTACCTCAGACTTTCTAATACATTTTTAATGGTAGGCTAATCCTCAAGATAAAAGCTTACGAGTATCACCTCCAGCCATCGCAGTGTTGTCACCAAGCTGTCAAAAGGCCCCCCTTGCTATCTAATTGCCAGTGGGACAGAGAGGCTGGGTGAGACCCTCTCGCACTGCTGTTGCCCTTTTCAAAGTACAATGTGGTACTGCCGCAACAGAGACCACAAGGCAGCTGCTGGGGGAGGGGGGTGATCCCATGACTTCTTCCCTGCCCTAATGCAGTTCTAAGCTGAATAGCAGCCGTAGTGGAAGAGTCAGTGCACCTTGGGTGAGAGGGACAATTGGCTATTTGAGCAACCAACCTCACAAAAACCTCTTCAGAAGCTCGGAGTAGTGGTGGTGAGAATAAAATTGTGTGTGGCCGAACCAAAGTTAAAAAAAAAAGTCTAATGGCATTATAGTTGTTTCACTCCACCACCATATATACATGCTTTGAAAAACCCATGATCTCCCTAATTTCCAACAACACAAAAAAGACAGAATTCAGAAGTTATCTAAAAAACATCCATTTGGCTGAGTTCAAAAGTTTAGAACACATGTGTGGACATTTTAAAATGCGGTGCTTAAAGCCCAAGAAGCAAAATGAAACAAAACAAAACAACAGTAAAAACTAATTACTTTGGGGCCCCAGTAGGAGGATTTTGTTGGGTGGATTTCATGGTTCTCTTTTAGTGAATTTGATGGGGACTTGGTCCATTGGTTCTTTCCTTGTCCCAAGGACATAAGACCCAGTGGCTGAAATCTTGTGGAACTGTGCAAAAGACATTTTTGAAGGCAAATTGCTTCAATTTAAGAAGTCTGCAGACATTATCTGTTGGCCACTGAGTCACACAACTCAGTATGCAACAAATCACGTCTCTTAACTTGAGATCATTCACTTTCAAAAATGGCACCATTTGGGTTACACCAACACAGCTAGGCAAGAGGATTTTGGCCAATATTGTGTGGTGATTAGAGTCTTGGACTGGGACTTGGTAAATCCAGGTTCGTGTTGACCCTGAGCTATGAAATTCACCAGGAAACTGTGAGGAAGAAGTGAGGAAGAAGAGAGCCATACATTCTTTACAGTTACTTATTACATTTCTGGCATCTCCGTCCATTGCGGAATAGTGCTCACTGCCTTGATCTCTTCAGAGTAAGAAAAGTCATGATTAAATAAGATGGTGGGTTAAAAATGAAAGTTTTCTTAAATTTGAAAAAAATAATTTTCATTTGCTTCACAGCTGCCATTTAAGACCTGTCCTTGTTGTTGCTTTCCCTATCTCTGCTTTCAACAGCAGTGAGAGCTGACCGAATGCGTGGGGGTCGAAACAAATTTGGACCAATGTACAAGAGGGACCGGGCACTGAAGCAGCAGAAGAAAGCTCTCATCCGAGCAAATGGACTCAAGTTGGAAGCCATGACTCAGGTGATTCAAGCAATGCCCACTGACCTAACAATCTCCTCTGCCATCCAGAATATCCATTCTGCCTCCAAGGGCCTACCTCTCAACCATACCGCCTTGCCTCCCACAGACTATGACCGGAGTCCCTTTGTCACCTCTCCAATTAGCATGACCATGCCACCACATGGCAGCCTCCAAGGATACCAGACCTACGGTCACTTTCCCAGCCGTGCTATCAAATCCGAGTATCCCGATCCTTACACTAGTTCCCCAGAGTCCCTAATGGGCTATTCTTACATGGATGGTTACCACCAGACAAGCTCACCGGCAAGTATTCCTCATCTGATCTTGGAACTCTTGAAGTGTGAGCCAGATGAACCCCAGGTCCAGGCAAAGATCATGGCATACCTGCAGCAAGAGCAAGCCAACCGAAGCAAACACGAAAAGCTCAATACTTTTGGGCTGATGTGTAAAATGGCTGACCAAACCCTCTTCTCGATTGTTGAGTGGGCCAGGAGTAGCATCTTCTTCAGAGAACTTAAGGTATGCCATACGATTGTTCTTTTTATGTGACCTGATCATGAAATCAGGACTTTGTATAGGTCAACGTGGTTAGTCACTTAGCCTAGCATGGTTTGCCTTCACTTACCATTCTTTGGCCAAAAGTCTGTTTAATAGGCTGAGAGTGAAATGGGAAACTATCCCGTGTAGCTTATCGTCTTCTTGGTCAGTAGCAGTTCATGGAAGGGCAGGCTCCTGTTCCATAGATTTGCACATTGTAAGAAGTTCTAAAATAAGAGATTTTGGGGGAGTGGGACAGGGGGAGCTTGTCTGAGATTTTTTTCTTGCAGAGATAATTTTACCGTGGTGGAAAAATATCCATTTTTAACCTATCATCTTCTAGTATATTAGGTGCCAAGGGCAGTACTGGTGTGAATGGGGCAGATTGTTCGCAACAGTATGTGGGAGCTTCTCTTTGTCTTTGCAGACCTATTACATGTTTATCTGATCCTCAGAAACAACAGAGGGATGAAACGGGGGGAGAGAAGGTGAACTAACAATATATGGATAAGAAGCAGGGCCAGTCTTACTGTCAAGCAAAGGGGCATGGTTGCCTCAGGCAGCAAATGCTGGAGGACCCAGACTAATAGCAGGGTGGTTGAGGATAGAGCTATGTACCAAGCAACCTGCTCTGTGCCTCTTAAGGTGTATCACAGTGCCTTTGGATGCAGAGGATAGAGCTATGTACCAAGCAACCTGCTCAGTGCCTTTGGATGCAGAAGATGCTGAACTCTCAGCTGAGATTCAACCTATCTGTATGTGGAATGGGAGTGGCACATCTTATCCTTAGGCAGCAAAAGGTGCTGGGCTAGCTTTGGAAATAGGGAAATGTCAGCATAGGAATAGGTGTGGTAGCAGCAAAACTCGGAGAAGGGTGTCCACAAACCTTGGTATTTGATGTATGGTGTAGCTGGTAGCTGGTTTGATCCCAGGCAGCACAGTTCACTTGAAATAAAACTTGAGAGTATAAGCGGATCACTTGAGCTGGCCTCATTTGTAAGGCAAAACAGAATTGATAAAGAAAGACCTCAGGGCCCAAGAACCACATAGAACAGGATACCAAATGTGAAAAGTCGTCTCTGGTTTCTCTCAAGGTGTGCAATAGCTATTCCTTTCTAGTTTGCAGTCTGATTATTAGCGCTTCTTGTTGCGTAAGCTGAACATGTAATCCAAACAGGGTGAGCAGCCAGAAGGCCTACCTGCATGGTTGTACCTTATTCCTTGCTTTGTCTTAGATTTGCTGCCGAAACACTTTGTGGGCTAGATGTAATGTGCTCATTAAATCTGTTCGCTAACAGTTAGAGGTGGCAACTTGGGGGAAACAGGTGCAAGGCAGAAAGGTTGCTTCCACTCCTGACTTGTAAGCTTCTCAGATGGGCACTCCTGAAAGGACAGCATTGATTTAGATGGACTTTGGGTCTGAACAACAGATCTCTTTACTCCTTAAGGACTATGCTAGAAGGAGAACATGAATGGCAGACACATGTACGGTACTGTGGTGGTAAAATGAGTGTCAGCAACCGGAGACTTCTGGGCCAAATCCGTCCATCTCAAAGATGTTAAAAGTAAAGGTAAAGGTTCCCCTTGACAATTTTTGTCCAGTCGTGTTCGACTGTAGGGGGCGGTGCTCATCCCTGTTTCCAAGCCATAGAGCCAGCGTTTGTCCATAATCAGTTTCCGTGGTCACGTGGCCAGCGCGGCTATACACGGAACGCTGTTTACCTTCCCACTGAGATGGTCCATATTTATCTACTCGCATTTGCATGCTTTCGAACCGCTAGGTTGGCGGGAGCTGGGACAAGTGACGTGCGCTCATTCCGTCACGTGGATTCGATCTTACGACTGCTTGGTCTTCTGACCCTGCAGCACAGGCTTCTGCGGTTTAGCCCACAGCACCACCATGTCCCTCTCAAAGATGTTAGCTGGCTTCAAATTATTAACCTAGAAACAAAACTAGGTGGTAATAATTCTTGTCTCTTATGCAGTGCTTTTATTTCAGGTATTTGGAACATAGGTGTCCTTTCAGATGTTGTTGGACTACAACTCTGATTACCCTTCACTCCAGCTATATTGGCTTGGAATGATGGGAGCTGGCGCCCAACATCATCCCCTGGGCCACACATTCCCCTGCCTTTTAAAAAAATATATAATATTTATACCCCATTCAACAGCTTAAAAGGTTCTTAGAGTTGCTGATATATCAGCAAAAAGCAGGACAAGTCAATCTATGCACGGAGGCTTGTAACCTTACAAAAGAGAGAGAGAAAATTTAAAGAGAAGGGGAATGGAAAACAAGAAATTTCAAGACAAGTCCCTGATGTGATGTGGTTTATTTAAGCACTTCATGTAGTGAGTGACACATCATTGTGTTGTTACATCATTGCATTACACTTTGTATTATTTGGGAAAGGCATCTGTAGCAGTTGACTTTGACAGTCGAAAGCTTTATCTGCACGGACGTGCTCTGAGACCTGCTTCTTATTCTCAGGAGACTTGACAAAAAAGACAAACAAACAAAATGTTGGGAAATGACAACTGTATAGATAAGTGTACTGTATGTGCACGCACACACTCTGGGCCAAACACATCTACCAGTAACTATCTGTACCTGTATTTTTATATCTGCTATCTGTCTGTCATCTATCAGTATTGTTATTATAAACACATTTGTTATGCAAATAAGAATTTGTTATACAAATAAGAACATAAGAAGAGCCCTGCTGGATCAGGCCAAGGGCCCATCTCGTCCAGCTTCCTGTATCTCACAGTGGCACCACCAGATGCCTCTGGGAGCACACGAGACAACTAGATACCTGTCTCCTGATACCCCTCCCCTGCATCTGGCATTTAGAGGGACCTTCCTTTTAAGCCGGGAGATTATATATCCCCATCATGGCTTGTAACCTGCGATGGATGGACTTTTCCTCCAGAAATCTATCCAATCCCCTTTTAAAGGCATCTAGGCCATCACCACTTCCTGTGGCAAGGAGTTCTACAGACTAACAACACGCTGGGTGAAGAAATATTTTCTTTTGTCTGTTCTCACCCAACACTCAATTTGAGTGGATGTCCCCTGGTTTGTCTATTTATGCAGTGCTTGATGATGAAAACCTTTTTTAAAAGGTTCCTCGCCCAGCCACCCGCCTGTGTTGTTGTTTTTATGGTGGATTTTTGTTGCCAATTATTACTTGTTCGATTTATAGGACTTAATTGTATTTTGATGTTTTATCTAGTAATCATGGTTCAAAGGCAGCTAATGATTTAGAAAGAAAGAATTCTGTATAGTACACTTCCCAGTATAGGTAGAGAAGACAGGTTTCCACTCCGAGAGGACATCAGCCTGTAAACCCAGCCAGTTGGGACATGGACAGGTAGTCTGCTGTAACAGTGACATGATAGTAGTGGTTTGTGAGGCATCCAAATAGAAATAGGAAAGGGTTTTGCCCAATACAACTGACAGAGAGGCCTCTTCTACCTTCGCCCCATTCCCATGTCACATGAGTGCCTGCTTCCTGACTTCCCTAACCATATGCAAAATCACCTCAAGACATGCCAGGGCTACAATTGTAGTCTTACGTGTGTCACAGCAGAAGCACCTCATACAATGAACTTACATGCTTGCCCAAAAGATAGGCGCCATTTGACCACAAAAGGGAATTAACATGGGTTCTATTTGTTTGCCCCAAATTATGAATATGAGTACATGGTATGAACAAAACTGTTTGTGCTAATACAGATTACTGGCGGACCTGTAATAAAGCCACTCACCTGTATGATTTTCAGAATATGGAAAAGATGCTTTTTTTGAACCACAGCTCTCAAAATCCCCCAGTATGAATGACGGGATTTATGGCTCAAAAAGTAACTTCTCCAAATGATGAAAACAGTGCAACTTTTAATACACATTATTACCTAGTTTTTTTAATCTAGTAAGAAATTTGAGGGGAAATAAAGAAATAGTAAAAGTCTTCACGCTTATTGTCAGAATCCTATACATGACAAGTCTGATATGTGGTGAGGTGTATGTAATATGCTCTGTTACTTTCAGAGACAGCCTGAGACATTGAGATGTCTGAGGCAACAGCCAAATGGCATTTCATTTTGACAAATGTGTAGCAAATGAAATAACTGTCAATTTGCTACCCTTAAAATCTTCCACGCGAGGCAAGGTGCCTCATCTTGCCAAACAGTAAAGCCAGATCTTGTTACTGGTACAGCATATAATAACTTGTAAATGCTCTGTGAGGCTATTCTAGTGTTACTCTGGTCGTGTGAGATATGATTTCATTTCTTCCAATAGTTTCAGCACTAATGGCTGTGACAATAACGTATCAAACAGGATAAGTTAGTAACTTCTGGTATCTGTATTAGGGGCATGAGATATTAAGTTAATTTAGTATGAAGAATAAATTTCTGCCCATTTGGACAGACACACGTTTAGCAAAACTTGTTTTTTCCTCAGTGTTTTCAGTGTCACTCTTAGAAACTGGAAATAAACAAGAAGGTTTCTTCAATGACTCACGGGCTGTCGTCCGTCCTATACATAATTGTCTAGAACTAACTCTCACAGAAAAGGTGACGCTAATAGGCTCTAAGGGATATGTTTCTGACTAAATCTGTCTCTCTCATTTGGTAAAGGAAAGGCTTCTTTGAAAATGTGTTGCTAAATAAAAATCTTGTATTGGAGAAATTTAATAATGATTTAAAAAAAAGAATTAAGGTAACAATAAACACAGGAAATATACATGAATAAAGTGTTCTAAAAAGCCAGGCAACAAGTCTTTAAAGACTATAAATACCACCTCAGCTAGCTCACTATTATTAGCAAAGGTTGAACAAAAGATGTCCAGAAATAGATACGATGGCCTGAGTAAGGGATGGTATGAAATGTCTTGTTTAACCTTACGCAGATATTGTTGCCATAGCATAGGAAATGGTTTTTAGCTGGCTCATGAGTTCTGCTGGGATGAAGGATGTTTCCA